TGTGTGTGTGTGTGTGTGTGTGTGTGTGTGTGTGTGTGTGTGTGTGTGTGTGTGTGTGTGTGTGTGTGTGGACGGGTTTTTCCTACAACGTGGGGTATTTTTTTACAAAAAAAAGCAGCCAGGTGGGGACCGAAGGTTTAGGACCAAGGTTTAGGTTAGTTTTAGGGTCAGGTAAGTTCCTGTGAGGTTAATTTCAGAGTATATGGTCAGGGTTAGGATATAAAGTCTAAAAAACATGAATGGAAGTTAATGGAAGGTCCCCACGGGGTCGAGAAACAAACATGTGTGTGTGTGTGTGTGTGTGTGTGTGCATGCGTGCGTGCGTGCGTGCGTGCGTGCGTGTGTGTGTGTGTGTGTGTGTTGACATTAACATCTGTTAGGGAAAGGAGCCTGTAAATCACTGTGGACCAATCAGCAGAGAGTAAAGAAAAGTAGAGGGTGAGTTCAGCCTGAGGAGGCGCAGAGAGAGGAGAGCAGGAGGAGAACAGGAGGTCAGGCAGACACACAACAAGAACATGAAAAGAGTCAGGGAGGAAGGACTGCAGTTTGGGACCTACCATGTCCGTCCTGTAAGTGGTTTTATTTTCTGTGAGGTCATCTCTTGTAAAGTGTGTCAGTTTGTGGTGAAACAAGTTTTAGTTGTTGTCCTGTTTCTGTTGTCATGTTTAATGTGTGTTTGTTGCTGCAGTATTCACTGAACACTTTTCTTCTTCTCCTTTAGTTTGTGTCTGTTTTTGTGCAATCTGCTCCTCAGACTTTGTGTTTTTATCCATTTATAATATAAAAAATATTCAGGAGGTGTGTGCTACAACTTTTAGTTTTTGATACTTTTGTACTTATTGAAATAATTATTTTCTTTACAAATATTTCCTAACATCTCTTCAGTTTGTTTCAAAAACATTTCTTTTTTAAATCTACCTCAGGTACTTTATTTCTGGTATCTTTTGCTCTTTTTCATCTTGTCTTTTTGTTACTTTTAACTCTTAGATTATTTTAATGACTGCTCTACTTTTAGTTTTCATCAAGACTTTTGCTGCAACACGTCTGCTTTTTTAGTGATCCTTACCTGCTGCTAGCTTTACCTACTATAACTAGTCATGAGTTATTTTATCTTTTACCTACTATAACTAGTCATTAGTTATTTTATCTTTTACCTACTATAACTAGTCATGAGTTATTTTATCTTTTACCTACTATAACTAGTCATGAGTTATTTTATCTTTTACCTACTATAACTAGTCATGAGTTATTTTATCTTTTACCT